AATACCCATAAATGTGTAATTGCTACCCATTAGGGGGTAAAATTTACTCATTAATGGGTATTTTTTACCAATTTTATGGGTTAACCTACCTTAGTTCAAAATGGGTGAAATTGTATTTATTAATGGGTACACTAATAGAATTCCACATATTTTTATTGACGAATTTTCATGTAAAATTCCACATGATTTTTTTGTGACCACTCCACACATAAACAGAAATCCACCCAGAAGCACACACGAAATTTATGAGTCAAATGAATAATATGTGTGGTTACACGTGGCTTCTATGTGTACACATATTAAGTATGTGTCCGACACATAGATATCATTTGTTGATCACATTGCAAAAATTCATGTGTGGGACACATAAAAACAATCTTTGAAATTTTATCAGTGTACTATAATATTAGAGTGTTGGGACTTCTCGCCGCAAGATCTCACTAATACAACCTTGCTAGTAAAGCCGCGTAAAATCGATTTGTTTTTTATTTTCAATCACGAAATCAGCTGTCAAAGGTTTCAACATGACAGCGGGTTGTTTTCTATTTTCAACCAGTAAAATGCATGCATTAGTGAAACTGCTCACTAACGGTGGTAGAGAACTACATGGTGATTTTGGAATTCCGTCCTTTTCAAATGTTAGTTCGAAGTGTCCTACCCCTCACCGATTAGAAAAAGATTGCGTGCACAAATCCGTGTAGCGAAACCGTTATTGTAATCGAAAAAGGCGGCACGGCAACGCTTCCCAAGCAAAAGATACTTTTGCTTTGTTCTCGTCTGGCATTCAGTTTTCTGCTAGCGAGAAGAACAGTAGTGAGTTTTCGGAACTCTCCAGAAAGTGCGTAATTTTATTCCAAGCTGCGATTATAAAAAAAGTAAAGGTGAATTTTATTCCGTGTGCTACCGACAGAAGATTTCCTGCGTGAAGAAAACAGTTTTTGAGGTAAATGTTCGGCATTCATGGTACCTATTGGAGTTTTTGAAGATGAAACGCTGACTGAAAAATTCTCTTTTTAACGGATCTATTCGGTTCCTATTGGGATTGAGTGTAATTTTTCAGTAGATTCAGCTCAAATATCTTTATCGGTGGTGGTAATGGTCGAAAAGTTAAATTTTCCACTGGAAAAGGTCTGCTTTTTCCAGAATTTTCCACTATCCGTAAAAATATCCAAGATGGCGGACTTATGGAAAACTCCTTTGTTCAGCGAAGCGAACGAAAACTTACCAAGCAACGATTTCAAATCTAGTTCAAGATGGCTGAATATCCATTACAAAAACTCTAAATCTAGCTGCAACTTGAACCACTTTTCATTTTGTGTGTTTGCAGGTCAAGGAAATTGTCAATAATTCCAATTAATGGAAAGGAAGTTGGCTTCCTTTCGTTTGGTAAGCCATTTCCGAAAATAGATATTAAATCATTCGGTTGTCATTGAGCCAATTTTTTCTTTGCTTGCCCTGGTTGGTAACCTTCACCGTTCAGTGAAATCCATCAGCTGATTCACTTCAACAATACTTGTTTTTGTTTTTTTTTATGTTAGTGGGAAAAGGGCTGGGGGTGATCGACATCCACTTCGTTTCTTGTGAGGTGGGTGGGGTTTCCCTTTTGTTAATCTTTTGTTCGACGAAAGTTAATTCGGTGTCAGTTCGTCGACGAGAAAAATCTTGTTAGGTAGTGTAGAGTGAATCACAGTCGTATGATTCATTTGAGTAACAACTGCAGGGTTGTTACGATTATGCGGATTTTGAAAACGCTGACCGGACTGCGCGTTATAACATGTTATAAACCTACACTAATAAAATTCCACACATTTTTATTGACGAATTTCCATTTGAAATTTCACATGATTTTCATGTGACCACACATAAACAGAATCCACCCAGAAGCACACATGAAATTTATGAGTCAAATTAATAGTATGTGTGGTTACACATGGCTTTTATGCGTACACATATTAAGTATGTGTCCGACACATAGATATCATTTGTTGATCCATTGCAAAAATTCATTTGTGGAACACATAAAAAAAACATCAATAATTTCTGTACCTGGTCCTTTTGTCTCTAAATGTTCTTGCCCAGATCTCTGCAATAAAAACTTAAGTGTGTAGAAACGTTCTGAAAATGGACCACTGGGAGATTCCATCAAGCTCCATCCTTACAACAATGAGAGCTTTTAATAAATTCAGTACTGACGACCGACAAATTTACGGTTGAAGCATAAATGCACCGTTGTCAAACGATCGGCACATGGGAAAGTTACGCGTCCACCACCTGCAGTAATACCCACAGAAGTTCTCTAAACTGAACTACAGTGAAGCTTAGGTTTCTTTAGACATGTTTAGGGAATCTTAATCTTGCTAATGCCTTGGAATTTTTTTTTCAGCTTTAGGGAAGTTCATAAAAGTTATGTGTACTTTCGATATGATCAGAGATCCTGAACAAAATTCAAGAAATCTAGCGTAACATTAGAAAATGGCATAAGCTTTTGTAAACAAAACTAAATAAAATATATAAGATATATAGAAAATATATTTAATTTAGGAAATTCTGGGGAAGATCAAGTATGCATATAAAATTGGTCCAAAGGCAAGTGCCACTAAAAGCTTAAATCCAGAAACGAATTACTAGATACAAGGTTGGCGTGGGTATGATCCGAACTTAATTTCAAATTTCTCGTAACAACCCTTTACATTTCGCGGCAGCAAGAAAGTAACAACTCGGTTTTTTTCGTTACAGAATGCAGATCTTCGTCAAGACCTTGACCGGTAAGACCATCACTCTGGAGGTCGAACCTTCGGATACCATCGAGAATGTGAAGGCCAAGATCCAAGACAAGGAAGGTATTCCTCCAGATCAGCAGCGTTTGATCTTCGCTGGAAAGCAGCTCGAGGATGGTCGTACTTTGTCCGACTACAACATCCAGAAGGAATCCACCCTTCATCTGGTCCTTCGTCTGCGAGGCGGCATGCAGATCTTCGTGAAGACTCTCACGGGAAAGACCATCACTCTTGAGGTCGAGCCTTCGGACACCATCGAAAACGTCAAGGCCAAGATTCAGGACAAGGAAGGCATCCCGCCAGATCAACAGCGTCTGATCTTTGCTGGTAAGCAGCTCGAGGATGGTCGTACTTTGTCCGACTACAACATCCAGAAGGAATCCACCCTTCATCTGGTCCTTCGTCTGCGAGGCGGTATGCAGATCTTCGTGAAGACCTTGACCGGTAAGACCATCACTCTGGAGGTCGAGCCTTCGGACACCATCGAAAACGTCAAGGCCAAGATTCAGGACAAGGAAGGCATCCCGCCAGATCAACAGCGTCTGATCTTTGCTGGTAAGCAGCTCGAGGATGGTCGTACTTTGTCCGACTACAACATCCAGAAGGAATCCACCCTTCATCTGGTCCTTCGTCTGCGAGGCGGTATGCAGATCTTCGTGAAGACCTTGACCGGTAAGACCATCACTCTGGAGGTCGAGCCTTCGGACACCATCGAAAACGTCAAGGCCAAGATTCAGGACAAGGAAGGCATCCCGCCAGATCAACAGCGTCTGATCTTTGCTGGTAAGCAGCTCGAGGATGGTCGTACTTTGTCCGACTACAACATCCAGAAGGAATCCACCCTTCATCTGGTCCTTCGTCTGCGAGGCGGTATGCAGATCTTCGTGAAGACCCTCACGGGCAAGACAATTACTCTTGAGGTCGAGCCATCGGACACCATCGAGAACGTCAAGGCCAAGATTCAGGACAAGGAAGGCATCCCGCCAGATCAACAGCGTCTGATCTTTGCTGGTAAGCAGCTCGAGGATGGTCGTACTTTGTCCGACTACAACATCCAGAAGGAATCCACCCTTCATCTGGTCCTTCGTCTGCGAGGCGGTATGCAGATCTTCGTGAAGACCTTGACCGGTAAGACCATCACTCTGGAGGTCGAGCCATCGGACACCATCGAGAACGTCAAGGCCAAAATCCAGGACAAGGAAGGTATTCCTCCAGATCAGCAGCGTTTGATCTTCGCTGGAAAACAGCTCGAGGATGGTCGTACTTTGTCCGACTACAACATCCAGAAGGAATCCACCCTTCATCTGGTCCTTCGTCTGCGAGGCGGTATGCAGATCTTCGTGAAGACCTTGACCGGTAAGACCATCACTCTGGAGGTCGAGCCTTCGGACACCATCGAAAACGTCAAGGCCAAGATTCAGGACAAGGAAGGCATCCCCCCAGATCAACAGCGTCTGATCTTTGCTGGTAAGCAGCTCGAGGATGGTCGTACTTTGTCCGACTACAACATCCAGAAGGAATCCACCCTTCATCTGGTCCTTCGTCTGCGTGGTGGTATGCAGATCTTCGTGAAGACCTTGACCGGTAAGACCATCACTCTGGAGGTCGAGCCATCGGACACCATCGAGAACGTCAAGGCCAAAATCCAGGACAAGGAAGGTATTCCTCCAGATCAGCAGCGTTTGATCTTTGCTGGTAAGCAGCTCGAGGATGGTCGTACTTTGTCCGACTACAACATCCAGAAGGAATCCACCCTTCATCTGGTCCTTCGTCTGCGTGGTGGTATGCAGATCTTCGTGAAGACCTTGACCGGTAAGACCATCACTCTGGAGGTCGAGCCATCGGACACCATCGAGAACGTCAAGGCCAAGATTCAGGACAAGGAAGGCATCCCGCCAGATCAACAGCGTCTGATCTTTGCTGGTAAGCAGCTCGAGGATGGTCGTACTTTGTCCGACTACAACATCCAGAAGGAATCCACCCTTCATCTGGTCCTTCGTCTGCGTGGTGGTATGCAGATCTTCGTGAAGACCTTGACCGGTAAGACCATCACTCTGGAGGTCGAGCCATCGGACACCATCGAGAACGTCAAGGCCAAGATCCAGGACAAAGAAGGTATTCCTCCAGATCAGCAGCGTTTGATCTTCGCTGGAAAGCAGCTCGAGGATGGTCGTACTTTGTCCGACTACAACATCCAGAAGGAATCCACCCTTCATCTGGTCCTTCGTCTGCGAGGCGGTATGCAGATCTTCGTGAAGACCCTTACGGGCAAGACCATTACTCTGGAGGTCGAGCCATCGGACACCATCGAGAACGTCAAGGCAAAGATCCAGGACAAGGAAGGCATTCCTCCAGATCAACAGCGTTTGATCTTCGCTGGTAAACAGCTCGAGGATGGTCGTACCCTTTCCGACTACAATATCCAGAAGGAGTCTACCCTTCACTTGGTCCTTCGTCTTCGCGGTGGAAACTGAATCAAAAATCACTTGCGATGCGCTACATTTTCAATTCAGAAAAAATAGTTTGAATAAATGTTGAAATTTCTCTCAGTAGCCTCAAAATCTACTTTTTCGATCCGCGCAAAATATACCGCGTGCAAAACCATAAAAAAGCATTGAATCTTGTAAACATTTTCTCCCAAATTGATAGCTTCATAGACGTGGTGCTTTCTCTTCTGTATCGACTATTGAGATCGAAATAAAGAAAATCATGCAAAATGTACTTTCATAACCGTTTATTAAACCATTCCGAACGGCCATCGCTTTAGGTCTTCACCACCTTCGCTCGCAACTCCCGCTCCAGGAATGGTAACCGCTCAGCTTCCGGTAGATTAGACCACATTTGATACGGAATGGGCACAACAGAAACTCCCAGCGCTTCAATCGTCCTGATGTGCATGGCAAAGCGACCGCGCAGTCGGTTGATGTTCACTGCGTAGTAGCTCTTCGGCAGGCATAGGACGACGATGCTGTTGTAAAAACCAATTTTAATATACCTATGTGTTCTACTGATAACATGTCTTTTTTTTTTACTTACACCCGGTTACCGTTGCTGGTAATGTCCTCTATCCGCGCCGAATCCTGCTCGTCATTACCCTGGATTTGCTGCTTCACCACACGCCCTTCTCGATCGAACACCAACACGTGGTCCAACACATGCCCATAGTTGGACGTCACCTGCGATAGAACGCTTCCTTCGCCACCGAAAACAAACTCTAGAGGTTTGTGCAAAGGAAGTTCATTGTTCTGCAGCAGCAGTACGGTGCCCTTTTCGATGTAACGCTTATCCGGCAGAGGTCCATCGTATTCCGGGAAGAGCAGCTGAAGCGTTTGTGAGAGTTCCAACAATTGCAGATAATCGACTATCGTGTTACGATTCATGCTTCTGTCCAATGCGGCAGCATCCAAATACTGTTCAAGCATTGACTTGTTGAAGATGCCCAACGATAACAGCTCCAAGTTGTAGCGAATCCACGGAATCGATGGGTTTGTTATGGATGAATGTCGAGCTATTTCCGTTTTGATCGGTTCCCAGTTGTGTGGTCGGTAGTCGGCATTCGAGAATGCTGCTACAGTGGCTATGATGCCCGAGTTAGGAACAATCGATAGATTCTCCGCTTGAGACCCTATGTAGTCCAGCAATGGGACATGCAGGTAAGCAATCTTGTTCAACTTCTTCTGGAAGTAGAGCGCATTCATTATTCCCATGTCATAATCCACCACAAATTGGGCACAGCGTTTGAAATAGGCATCATTGTAGAACATCGGATACTTGTCAAGGTTCTTTTCGACAATCTTTTTCATCACGAAATCGATGGTTTTGAAATTGGTATCATCGATCTTCTCAATCAACGTTTGGTAAACATTTTCCAACAATTTCAAATGAGGCTGCTCTAATGTATTAAAGTCCGTTAGAGCCTTTAGAACATCAGCAGCTTGCGATCCGCTCATGCTTGTGCCGTGCATTGTAAGTGCACTGACGACATTCATAATGCATCGATCAGATACCCGGTGTTGCGCTACGAACCCAATGAGATCCACCAACTGTTGAACATTCTCGTGGTCCATCTTGTAGGAGATTTGAATCTGCAGCAACATCGGAAGCGCCAACTGTAGCGCTTCGACCAATGGACTTCTGTCCATCTTTTTCAGTATAAAATCCAGAAATACAATGTGATCCAACGTGACATCGTTGATCTGATGGCGAAGCAGCTGTAGGAACACCGTCATAATCTCGCTATTCGACCTCACCCCAAAGTAGGTTAGTATCTTCAAGCTCTCCGTGATGTCGTTCATCACAAAGGAGCGTGCTTCGTATTTCAAAACTTTGCAGAGTTCGGCAAAGCGTGGGTGGTTCAGGACGTCTTGCCTTTGGACGCTGGTCTTGCCTAGCTTATGCAGTTCGAAAAGAGCTTTCAGTGCAGCCAGGGTGACCGCCTGTCGGTCGATTTTGCGTTTGTCTAAAGTGGGCATGAATTCCAACACTTCCTTGGCGTCGTTTGCATTCTTCAGCATGTTCAAGTAGGACTCGGTTTGGATTTGGATCAAACTATTAGACGATTGCTGCAAATCTTTGGTGAAAGAGTTGTTCGTAACGTGTGATGAGACTGCAATATGACGGGTAAGTTGGTTCGTTCTGCTTGGTGGCCCGACGGTCTTCAGCGCGTGCAAGAGGATTCGCCGAAGCATTATAAAATTGTTCAGCGGTTCTGTAAAAAAAATCGTTTTTTATCCAACCTGTTGTAGTCTGTAGTCAAATTCTTACGTATCTAAATTTAAACAGTACCTATTTTCAAAACCTGCTTCCCGAAGCAAAGTTTAATCTCTATAGAGGGAGGTCTATGGATTAAAGCTTTACAGTAAAAGTGTGGTAAAAGTATGGACGTCTGTCAAAAGTTGTTCCAATCGAACCATCAAAATGCACCGCTTTGCTCGATTGGAACAGCTTTTTTCAGTTTTGCGGTGACAGTCGTCCATACTTTAACTAGAGGGGTTAACGGATATTCGATCATTGTGCTCCACATGGTGGAAAACACCTTCCATAAGATCGAGGTGGTAACCATAATGAACGAATATCCGTTAACGTTTATGGGAAATAATGATAAATAATAATTAGGGGTTTTGATCTAATTTCCGTCTTACTAAGCGCAACACACGCTTTCTTGAACGGGGTTTAACAATAAATGAAGTGTTTCTATCAAAGATGACTTCTAAATTTATTCCCCTTTCCATAAATACCATTGATATTCTTTATTATCACATTGTTGAGATATTGTTAAAAAGCTAACACTGCTTCTTGATTCCAAATTCGTCCTACGAGTTTCAATTCCGTCCAAACGCATTTAAACGCCATTGGATTTTCTTCGTCCTACGGATGAAGGTAGAAAAAGCGAGTTTGCTAGGAGCGCTTCTCTTGTTTTGAAAACAATGAGTGTAAATATTTACCTAATACGCTCTAATAGGTTTTGTGTTGTAGCTTGTGAACTAAAGCATCAGTACAAACGTATTACTGATTTGTGCACGGTCAAATCATTGATTATACTGATGTTTTCTGCTCGATAGAACGGAAATGGACGATTACGACGAAGTAGCGCTTTACCCTATACAGTTACGAAGCAAAGGTCCAAGCCTAGGTCCAAGCTTTTTACGATTATTCTTGACCTCGTTCGTGATTCTTTTTAAATACACTTTAAAAAAAAATTGCACGTCACCATCATCTTAGTTAAGGTACGGCTCGAGGTACGGTTACTTTATCAAAGAGACAGTCAAGTCATTCAGTCATGTGTTTCACACTTGAATTTGCGCAAATTGTGAAACACATCCATAGTAAAGCCCTTTAGTCCATTAACGGCAATCGAATGTGCAGGAAGGCAGCTTCCACACCTGCGTAGTATATGCAGAAAGTGCAAAAGCGTGGTCTGATTCGGGCGGCCATCGCCGACGCGGTAGTGAAAATCGCGAAAACTTTCGCGATTCGATCGCAATAGCTCCAAAAGCAACTGCGGCATTTCGAAGAGGCCATCGAGACAGTTTGTGGAGACTGTGAGCGCCGAGTACGGCACGAAAAGTCATTTGCAGTCACTGCCCATATTTGCCGTCGTCGCGAGTGGATTCTTTTGACGGGTGCGCGCAGTAACAGTGACAGTCCATTGTCGGCAGGTTGAAGCGACGTTCGATTCCGACACGATTGCCTTGGGGAAGTAGGCAGCTGGTGGCAACAACATCGGCATCGACCAGAACCGCCGAGAAACGACGAGCGCTCACGCTGTGACCTCGGACGCCATCTTGTACATCAGTCTGCGGGATTCATCGGGCACATCAGACACGTGAGGCTACTTGGGACACGTGAACCACTGCTGGATTCGGGACTCGATATTCACTGCGGCCACAAGTCGGACGGAGAAGAAAAGTCGTGATTCGATACTAAAAGCGCATCTGCTCCTACATACAGTCGATCGAGTGGGCCACGGCGGCTGGATACGGCCAGCCTCGGAAGACAAAAGATAAAAGCCTTCAATGCGAAGGCTTTTTGTTTTCCAGCTCGAATCGACGAAAGAATCAGCGACATAATAGTTTGACCAGCTCAGGGTACAGCGGCAACGCTGAGTGAACTCGGTCCGAAATTGAGTCGCCCCCTGGTCGGCGCTGCACCGTCAAAGGAACCGTACGTGCCGATACGTTGTCGTGCAAGGTGTGCGAACTGAAAGCGGACCTACATCGCCAGTAAGCGGGTGACGATCTGAACCCGATCGCTTTGAGGTGGACGCCAACCGTCATCAGACCCTCAAAGCCGGTCGCGGTGGAGCATGCACGGTGCCTCCACGTCGGCACAGTCCGAAGATCGACGGTGATGAGCGGTGAACGAGAGGATGTGCGGATGTTCCGGTAGCAGTGAGTACACCAGTGAAGAGATGAAGCATTGAAGAAGAAGAAAAAAGAACTAGCTAGGCGATTCTGAAGAACAGGAGCTCAGGAGTTAGGTGTAACATGGGAGGGAAATAAAGCTTGCACTATGTTATCGTATGTTTTGTTGTGGTAGTCATTCATGCTCTAGCCGGTACGACCAATGCTTTTGTCCCTGCAGAGGTCGTTTTGCAACAATATCGCACCCTAAGTGGAGACAACTGGCTTCTTACTCTTTCATATCTATCTCTATCTCTATATTACGCACTTCAAATCGCCCAATCACGAGCTGGCTCGCGTTTGACAGAAAAGTGGTTCGTTTTCGCCCCCTACTCTTTTCTTAGATCGCACCCATTCAAACACACATGGGCCGGGACCAACGGCTTTACTTCTCTGAAGGAAGACGTAACCAGAGATTTTTATGCCTCAGAAAAATCCCACTGTCCTAGGCTGGGATTGAACCCAGACCCATTGGGGTGAGAGAGTAGTCACGGTTACCACTACACCACCGGCGACGGCTCTAAATTCCTAAAAAAATAATTTAAATTTGAGATTCTCTCTAGGAATCTAATAACCGAGAAAACTGGGAAAAATAAAATGGAAATTCAGATGCCAAACTGGGAATATTAACTGTTGGAGTGGCCTGGGTGCAGCAGTTTCGGGGTAATATTTAACAACTTGTTTTTGCTCAATGTTGTTGTATTCAAGGTTGTATTAGTAAACCAAAAATTAACGTAAACGCAATTAGTGACGTCAATAATTGCAATAATTGCAGGGGTTTCACTCATACAACTTAACCGATTGCTTCACCTCGGTAATCCAGCACAGAAACAAAGTCCATTGGAGAAAAATACTACACTCATAAAATAAATCACATAACCAGTGGAAAATATCCATGTGAATTTCACATAAATTTCATCTGATCCAATAATTGGAAATTGCACCACTAAATCACATGAACGTTATGTGTCCAATGAAATCTATATGATTTCTCATATAGAATTTCTAATGCTATGTGATATTCAGGTAAAAATCATTGTTTTTGTTTTTGGAAAAAATACTATGTGCGTTCCTAATAGAAACTAAGTGAAAACTTTTTTCAGTGTATATTGCTGGTTTAAATTAAATCTCGATGAACATTTCAAATGGTCCTATCTGCTTTGATCGATTCTCTTCATCGACTTTCTCTTTTCATAACCACTGCTATGCAAACAGATTTCACGCTAATTCTACCACATAGTTTGATAAAGGAGGTCTTATCTAGGGTCCAAAACGTCAAACACAACAGGGAAAGGTTTTGCAGCTGAGTTATTGACGAAAGAGAAAGTCGATGAAGAGAATCGATCAAAGCAGATGGGACCATTTGAAATGTTCATCGAGAAATAACCTCACCATAGATTTTTGCAGAAAACAATTTCATTTCATTTTACTTTTATTTCTATCAACATTACTATGCATTTTGAGCAAGTATAGTAGTTTTGCCAGAATCATAGTAAATTTGTTAACATTCATATTCAACTATACTGAAATCCAGTGTTCACTCGGCTGACGACAGAAGCAAAACCACTCTCAATGTGTGTCACGCAATCGTCTGTTTACTCGGCAGCAACAATTGGGTTCTTTAATTTTGAAAAATGCATTGTTTTTTATACATCATCCGAAAGAGCTTCGTTTTCTGAGCACATCGATATTTTTTTTGAACCCACATAGGGGAAATGACGGCTTCGGCATGACAGACTATTTTCGGCAACACAAATTGAAACACTATTTTCACTGGATTTTCTTACGAAAACACTTCGCTGAATGCATGCAAACGATTCTTTATGCTTTCAGCTTCACTTTGACTATATTTTTACCACTGAGAAAAAGCAATCTAGCAAGGTTTTCTTGGAATGCAACACACGCACTACAAATTGTAGCTGATTTTGAGTTGCCGATAATAGAACAGCAGATTTACATGCAGTTCAAATGGAACGGCTGCCGAAGAAAAACTGGTTGTCGACAATACTCGCTCTCACTAGAGAAGATTGGAGCTTTGTAAAAGCGTTTCAAAACAGTTTTTGACAATTCTTTCGACTGAAATTGTTAGAGCAGCTGGCAGCAAAAGATTGTAAACAAACCAATACTGCATATGTGCGCGTTCCTTAGAGAAAAAGGCTATAGAAAGAAGGTCGCTGCTTAGGTTGCCGAGAATACGTAAATTCCCCTACATTCATCTTGATTTTTAAATCAAGATTTAAAGCAAAATAATAACTTCACTGTTTGACACTAAACTAACAAACTGACAGCTCGCTCCCATACAAAGTGACACCGAGAGGCGCTAATAAGGTGATTTTAGCTAATGTAATCGTACTTATATAAAATAGTTCCAATGTACCAAAATTGATGAAATTTTGGGTTTGGGTTCCATTTTTAATGCAGATTACAAATATGCATTTACCTCAATACCCTTAAAGAACCCAATTGTGTGGTCCTTCTCATTGTTCTTCATCAGCAGTTCTTTCAGTCGATGCGTCATCGACTTTGGAAAGCAACCGTTTCATGATGAATGTGTGAGTGCTGACCGAGGGGGGCGACACATCTAAATCTCAAGTTTAGATGCTCAACAAATCTCACACAAGCGAATCAATCTTCGAAAAATCTTCTTTCATTTGTCGCATCTACTTGCACCGCTCATCATCTTTTTGCAGGAAATCTTCAGAATCGTCATCAATCTTCTTTCTATCTACTCAGCGTGCGCGCAGCTAGCCACAGCAAAATACAATCTTTTTTGCATCGTAGATAGAGTCGTCCCCCTCGGTGCTGACCACGTTTTGCGTCCATTGCTGCAATGGAAGCGCCGAGGGAAGCGCTCTGACCCCCGTTGGCGAATCTGCCATACAATGAAACCACTGGAAGCGGCTCCCATTCTGGTGGAAGAGGCTTATTGGATAGCGAAAGATAAAATCAGTGCCAACATTTCAAAGGGGCGTAATTGTATTTGTACACAGCAAAAAAAAAATGTAATATCGATCAATGTAATTCAAGCTGATGTATGAAATAATGATGTAATAGCAAAAAGCAGATACAATATTACATCAATGCATGTAGTTTTGTTCGCAAAATCGATGTACATCGTACAACGTTATATTACACATCCGATGGATTGACCTGGTTGCAGCAGTTTGGATGTAATATTCAACAACTTTTTTTTCTGTGTAAACAATGGCTTTAGTCATAGATTTCTTGCAAATAAAAGCTCACTCATGAAAAATAATAACACCACCAGGTAGAAGAATGTTTCCTCTACCAGCTAGCATTGTAATTTTGGAGAGATAAGATATCATTCGCGAGAAATTTACGGCTAAAGTCATTGTTTACAAAAGCAATTACGCCCCTTTGAAATGTTGACACTGAAATGTTTATTGTGTTGTACCTTTTGACTATAGTTTTAAGATGTATTGTATTGTGAACAAGAATCCTCGGCTCTGTAAAGTTAATTCAGTTGAGCCCTCGATTGAGCCTTATCAAATAATTAATAAACACAAATAAAATATACTGAAATCGTAGTAGATTTAACGGTCATAAACGTGGTTATATTGAAAATAATTATTTTTTGCGAAATAGTATTCCTAACTCACTGATAAAAATTTCAAAGATTGTTTTTATGTGTCCCACACATGAATTTTTGCAATGATCAACAAATAATATCTATGTGTCGGACTCATACTTAATATGTGCACACATAAAAGCCATGTGTACCCTAATAAACAAATACCATAAACGAACAATAACCCAAATAGTCGAACTTTTCCACAAATGGTTTGGATGATACCCCAAACACGTCGTTAAGCAAAATAACCATAACAAATTTATTAGGGTAACCACACATACTATTCATTTGACTCATAAATTTCATGTGTGCTTCTAGGTGGATTCTGTTTATGTGTGGTCACATGAAAATCATGTGGAATTTTACATGGAAATTCGCCAATAAAAATGTGTGGAATTCTATTAGTGTATGGTTCTCTTTTCCTCGCTCTTTTCAGTGAGCTCATTGATTTTTGCTCTATACAGGAAGTCCTGCAGGAAAAAAAAATTTTAAAAATCTCAAAATCCATTGACAGTGTAAAGCTTATTGCAGGGCTGCCCCACGGGCTCTGATGGGATACTTTTCCGACTTTTCCACTCGCTACTGCCAACACTGCTAAAATGTCGGACGTAATGACTTTTCATTACGATGACTACCAGTTTGTGCTGCAGCAGTAAATTTGTATGAAAATTAATCAGTTTTATTCCGTATTTCAAAGTATATAGTGTAACATTCCGGTACAGCAGAAGTAGGACAATAGTGCACCGTTGAAGAACCGAGTGGAAGTTAGTGTAATTTAGCGATATTTGACTGAATAACCGACCACGAAAAATTGCCACAGCAGACGAATGTGCTGAGAAATTTCATTGTGTTTTGGTGCTCCACATCGGGGCTGGTGACTCTTATTTAGAAGCATCTAGTGGGGGCAATTTGTGGGGTTAGGAAGTTGAATATATTGTGGTGGCGACACGACTTTTTCTGAAGTGACTTGTCGGTTGTGTAGTGGGGATATTTTCTCAGAAGACTGCAATAGTAGCTAGTTTGTGGTTGGGACTAGGTGTACCCATAGTGCTGGTACGCTTACGGTTGAGGAAAAAAGAACGCGGCGGAAGATATGGACGAAGAAAGCAGTGACAGCTTGGAGTTGAGTCGGAGTAAGCGAAATGAGCGTATTGAAAAGTTGGGTTTCCGTCCGCAGAAGGAATTGTTCTGCAACAAATTCCTTCCGTACGCGGAAAGACTGGACGATGAATCGCAAGCCATGCTGGAGAATATCAAAAATAACCTTGGCAAGGCGGCTGCTATGCGGGAAATTACGCCCGGAGTTTCGATCTACGTTTCGCGGTTGATGAAGTAAGTGAAACTGTTTGCACTTGAAAATAATGTAAATTTATACTCACATTTTCGTTCCTGATGTAATTCGTCTCGAGACCTTTTGTGACACTCGCAACTTGGGGTTTCTTCGTCTATTTTCTACTTGTTTTTCTTGCTCGTCACGGTGATCTGTCAAAGTTTAGTGTCAGTGCTCGCCGCCGAACAGGCTGAGCGCTGCGGCGTAGAGTTGCTTGTTTTTGATGTGTTTTGTTTTGATTATCTACTTCCTTACAGGTACATCAAGTTGTATGGGATGAAATTCTCCAAGGAGGACCATATCAAGTTTGTGAAGCTGCTCCTGGAGTTGATTAGCATTCCAAACTTGGAGCCGGATAAGGTCAACAAGTTTTGCTATGCAATTACCAGTCTGTTGAGGTAAGAAGCTTCTGTAGCAGTTCAATAGGCAGCGAAGTTTCACTCGAAACATTGTTTTTTTTTTAGGAAACCTGAATGGCTCAGCCCGGACGATATCCAGATTGATTGGCGACTCCTCTACAAGCTGTGCAACCTGATCCTGAACAAAAACTGCAGCAAAGGTGACCTGTACCGTTACTTCGCGTGAGTATCCTTAATGTCCTATTCCCTTTCGCTGACTATTATCTGATATCCCCCGCTGCAATCCCTCTCAGATGGAATTCAAACCATAACAAATCAGCAAACGCATCACCGTTGGCGAAGTTGCTCAATGCGGCTAGTGAAATGGGCTACGATGTTTCTTCGTTTCTGGCAAACTACAATGCTGGAAGTGATGATCTGCCGTGAGTTCAAATGTCCATAGTGGCATGTTTGTTGTGGTGATTCGGAAAGCGTACTTAACTGGTGATTGTGGGGGAATACATCAGTAGTGGTTCTCGTCATCATACCTATCCACTGCTATAACATGGTTTGGTTCATTTATCACTTGGAAGAATTTGGGCATTACTCATGGTTTACGGATAACTGGGGTGATTGAAGCCGGTATGATAGGCGTGCAAGCTGGGATTAGGCCAACGAGACAGATACATCGCATATCAGTCCCATATGGATTATCGTCAATTTTGAGATAACGCTATCCTCTATCAATTCTACGGACTTTGATAATGAAAAATGTTAAAACAACATCAATCAGTTTGTCTCATCAAGCAAAGCAATCGCATGTCAGTCCCATCCTTAAATTCAATCGTCCAGAGGTGAAGTTACAGTTCTGGTTTTGGAGTTGCCATATTTTTCGCTGATTTAACATAACATGCAAGCTTCAATGCAACTGATTTTAACTTGAAAAAAAAAAATAATAAATTTACTATGATTTTTCAAATATTTACCTGGGAATCGCACTTGGTAACTTCGAGTGCCATTTTCTCATTGTCTACTTTTTTTCCATATGGGACTGTTATAGAATTATAGGCAGTATATGATACCATGATACATTGATGATACGGAAAAATCTCTCTCTCTCTCTCGATAATCTTTCCCTTTAGAGACTTTCTTGCTGTCGGATGGGACGAGATTAATTGGCCATTGGGCTTGTAGTGACTGTTCTTCTCTCAACTTGTTTTCCTATTGTTTCAGATCCCTTGAGACCAATCTGCAGTTTGTGATCCAGTACTGTGCTCCGTAAGTATCCGTTTTTCTCGTTGGTTGCACATCTCGATAAAATATCATCCATAATTTCCTTACGACAGCTACTTTTCCCGGTCGGCGACGCAGGAAATTCTCGATGAGCTGCTGCCTAAGCTGCAACCGTTGGATACGGGTAAAAGTTTCGACACGTTCGGTATGCTGCACATATTCTTGAGCTGTGAGCATGACTACGATCTGTGGTTCGGTAAGTTTATGACCATCTGGGATGCGTACCACAATCCACCGTGGAGTATCGACATGATGACCATCTACGCGACGGTCGGGTTCAAAAACATCGGTTACATCGACTGGGAACCGTACATTCCGACGATGTTTGCCCGGATCCTGCGGGCGATTGACTTCCCGGTGAGTTACAAGAGTACGAAGAGTTCCAAGCTGCAGGGACTGGCATCGCAGTCGATCGTCATTTGGATTGTGTCGGTACTGGGTCCAAAGAGTTCCGCGCAGCAGTATCTGAACAAGTTTATGGCGACCATTGAATCATACTTGCATCCGGCCAACATGGGCAAGTGGGTTTCGATGCTGGGGGAGATCCTGATCCAGTTACCAAAGTACTTCTTCGATCGGTTGATTTTGGAGAGATACCGGAAGCATCCCTACAGGAGGCCTATTCCGGAGAGTCACAAGCTGACGGAAGATTGTATAACTGCGTTCGTAGAATGCATGAAGCCGGTGGCTTTTCAGGCGATGTATTCCAGGATAAATCCTCAGGATGTGGGGAAGATCTTCCAACACTTGGCCGATTTGCGACCGGAGCTTATCATTCCGTCGATCATTGATCGGGTTTATGCCAGCTTAGATTCACTGACAGAACCGCATAAAATGACTGCCGCACTGCAGAGTTTGGTTAGCGTATCGAGGGCACTGGTTTCCGGTCACAATGGTTACACCGATGGACGGAATCATGTGATACCGATCTTCTTTGCCACTCTTCCAGGAATTGATCCGAATGATTTCAAAAAGACATCCATAACATTCCATTTTCTGACGTCAATATCGTTCCTGATACCGATTACGGACTGCTCGAAGGCGGGTCTCTATCATGACCTTACTGACGATGAGCGATTGCTGTGTGAGCAAACGGCCGATTTCGAGGACTTTGTGCTACAGTACATGGATCGGATATTTTTGCTGATTGAAAGCAGTTCGGTGGATAATGTCCGGATGGAGCAATCTGATGCGGATTCGATGCGTTCCAAGATGGAATCGATTTCCGAAGCACTTGTGCAGGCATGTACGCACGGTATTTTGGGACAATGTTCGAAGGACATTTTGAACTCATCGTCCAGGAAGCTGATCGACTTTGTTAAAACGCGCTTGTTGGAGCCGAAGGTGGCCGGACAGCTGGTTGGGTGTTTGGTGCGGGTGTTTGCTAGAATTCATGGCAAGGAAGTACTTCGCTCGTTGATGCCTTATGTACTGCAGACGATAGAGCGATACATGGAGGATCATGACGACATAGCGGAAGTGGAGAAGATGAGCGATGAAATGTTGTACTACTTGCTGCTACTGACCAACATGATGCGTGGTGATCCGGGAGAAATAGTTAAATATGTTGACCAAACTCTACCCATTCTAGATCAAATACTTAAATTCAAATGCAAGCAGGCGAACAAGTACGGTTTTACGATGATTGCTAATTTGATGAGCAACCTATCCACCATGCAGACTTTGGACGTGAAGAATAGTCCCGAGAGCTTCGAAAAGCCGCTATCGGAGTTTTTGCCGATAAGAAGTTGGGGTGAAAAGATGCCTCCAGATGGGAAGATCGATTGGTGTTTCCCAGGAGAGGAATCGCTTAAAGTTTCGGAGAAGATAATGCACCGCTACTTGGTGCCAATCTTAAGCAATTTTCAAAAGTACTGCGCCGGCGAAATAGAGCTCAGTCGGGACGATATAAACCGAGATGTGACAATAATTCAATCGCTAATTAGGTGTTCAAATTTCCTACCCAATTGGGACGATGAGGAGCCGCTGAAGATGTTCGAATCCTGTCTGGATAGATCGGAAATGAAGTGGAGTGTTACGAGGGGCTTCGACGAACTGGTCATTAAAATGCCGAATGGGGGAAACGTTAGGAAAGCAATAATAAAATCCATCACTGCACTGCAGCGGCAGATATTGCTCAAGTCTGAAGACGACATCAAATCCTTAAAAGCCATCCTAATGTTGTACGAAAAAATCTTCATTCGAAAGCACTCCAACAGTGCGTTTGATAACCAGGTCAAAAACTTCAACAATACCAAAAAATTCCAAACGTACAAACTCACGCGCTACAAGCGGGACGTTCGTGCGGTGGTCGCTACCAGGGTGATAATGCAACATGACTGCCGGGATGAGGTCGATCAACCACTGTTCACTGCTTCCCATTTGGAAGTGATGATGAACTTGTTGGAACTGTCCACATCTCACTACAGCAGCGTGCGTGCCTCGGCTCAAAGTAAGCTCTTCACAATGCTTTCCACATTCTCGTTTAGCTACAAATTCCTTTCGGATAAGATCGTCGAATACCTGCAAATGGATTCCAACGAAAAGCACGAACAGTTTAAAGGTAAGAAAAATGTGCTTTTTTCAAAAAACATCATTCGTAAGTCATTTTTCTATTTTTTTCTTTCTTCGTAATAGGCATTCTCTATATCTTGGTATCGAATCGGCGGTCCCGACTGGTCATCAAACATGATTGGGAATTTATCCAGCGAATATGGATAACCTTGCTCCAGTCGAAACTTTCGGAGAAACCGTCGGTGGTGAAACTGCTGGATGCCGTAACGGATGTAATCAACAACGAGTTCCCGACGACGAACATCGAACTGGTTGTTCCGGATTCATGTGTGGAGTACGGTTTGGCATTAAGAACCCGTGAGGACAAGCTAGATCTTGAGGCTGGTCGACAAGCAAGATTAGTCAAAAGCAATCGAAATCTCGAAATTTACTACGAATTGATCGCACAAATACTGGCCACGGTTGAGAATGACAAGCTCCACTGGAGGTATCACTATCTGGCATCATCGATGTTGTACAACCTCGTACACCCTGTGACCAAGTATCCAGCCACGGTGGCACAATTTGCAGTTCACAATTTGATTCACGATTCACTGGACGAGCGCAAGATGGCAAATTGTCTACTGAATCACGTTCTGCGGCAACAGAAGCGGGAACACGTGAAGATTTCTGTGAATCCGTATGAAATTGCCGGTATTCCGGATAAGGCTCCGGCGAACGGTTCCAGCGTTTTGCCGGGCTATCGGGAAGATAACCTTTGGTTGCAGTACGACGTAGAGAAAGCGCCAAAAAATCAGGAAGATTGGGACCAACCTCGTTATATATACAAAACGGATGGATACTTTGGTTGGAGTAGCAATTTTTCTGTTTATGCGCCTAGCCAAGACCAGCCACAGCTAGATCGTACGGTCGACGAGATGAACGAATGTGAAAGAATCATTTTTACCTTCTTCAATCAGCAAGAAAACGTAGATAAACTTATCAAATTTTGGTCCTTGGAGGAGAAGAAGGGCCGTGACAAATTTAATCGGAATCGATTTTGCCTGATCAAGGCGTTGACGAATGCCTTCGGGGATCTGTTTTTGGATAAATTTATCAAACATCTTCGTCCGCTGATTGAGGATAAAGCATCCGAAAGTAGCCATCGCTGTGCTGCGGAAATCATGGCTGGCATCATAAGAGGGATCAAACATTGGCCGTACGATAAGACGGCCAAAATATACGAAGATCTAGTACCGTTGATTCGGCTTGCGTTGAACAACGTTACCGTCGATACCGACGTGTACTGGGGAACGTGCTTTGCTACCGCTGCCGAGTATATGGATCCCTCGAAGCAATATTGGCTGCACGAGGCCCTCCTAGAGGATCCTCTCCAGGAGACGACCAGTTTCATAGACTGCAATCGTCTGTACTGCTTGCAAGGGGCATTCAACCAGCACGTCTGGCGAATGACCAGTGTGGCTAAGCGTTTGCTCGAATATCTACGGCCGTACCTGAATCATTCGTTCCAGAATGTGCGTGAACGTTTGGGTAGTACATTGATCAACATCTTCGAGGCAGATTTGCGATTCGAGGGTCACCGAGGGCTGGAGTTGTCGCCGACGATACGCGATATGATCGGTTACGTGACGCCGAAGATTGCTGTCTTGTTGAAGGAAGACTGCCCCACTGCAGCGGTGGTGGGCGATAAGATGGAGTTGGAAGGTGATCCAAGCGAGAGTTCCAGAAAAGAAGAGAGCGAGTACGAAGTGGCGGTGAGATTGTTCAAGACAGGTGAGGTATCTTAGTGCTTTATGTTAAATCGAAGACAACATATCAAGAAGACTGGCAACTCTCCCGTTTTCCCATATGATCGCCATGAGACAGGCACAATTGCGTAAAAGTAAACACTGAAACCGGATCTTACTCAGAGAGTTAGTCACTTTTAGTCATTCGTGTGGAGACATTTCTAAAAGCGTAGGTTACTCATGCGCTGAGTGACCTACGCTTTTAGACATTTCTCCATACGAATGAGTAACAGTGACTCACAACTGAGTAAAAGTGATTCACTCTATGAGTTAGTCAGTTAAAAAAAACAACGGGCACGCGTTGGAATAATCCTTTCGCGGCACACGTTTTCATTGAATGCTCCGAACGAATTTCAGGGTGGCCAGCAAACCGGGAAATCCGGGAATACCGGGAAATATCCGGGAATTTGGAAAGTAACCGGAAAAACCGGGAAAAACCCGTGAATTCTGCAAGAGAACCGGGAAAATAAATTAACCATATCATAGGAACAAATTTTTACATCAGAATTTCAGAATAAACCATCCTTTAGCAAATGAATGTCTTGCTTTATTTGTTGCATAATTTTCTTCAGTATACCGGCTTATTGTTTTTAGAATTTAATCACTCAGCAATATTGCAAATTGATTTTTGTCGTTTCAATTTCAGATGTAAAGTGCATGGTCCTCTAAAGAAAATATTGAAGATGCTGGAGTTTGGAAACAAATATTTGTAAAAACCGAAACTGAATTATTCTTTTCCGGGGTTTTAATTTTTCGTTGTTCAAAATTCTCATGATGAATTCCAGAATTAACTTGGAATTCTGCTCTGAATTATCTTGAAATTGTTCTGAAATAAACCAGAAAACACTCCGCGTAATAATTACCGTTGAATTCTTTTAGGAATTTTCTTTCAACCCCTTCTAAGAATTTATTGGAATCTTACATATAATTCCCGTTCCCGTCTATCCGGAGACTTTGATTCCTTTAAAAATCTTTTCAAACATTTCTTTTAACTCTATTCAAAACAAAAGAAATCTTTCGAAAATTAATTTATAAACCCCTTGGAGTATTCTAAAGAATTTCTTTCTAATTATCAGCAAATTTGTTGGAATCAATATTGTTTGGGTTATGTGATGAATCATTCGCACTAGGGTTGAAACATTTTAAGAACTCTGTTTCTTGTTGAATTCCGATCATAATTCTCTTGGAATTCTTCTTAAAATTCATCTGTCATGTTCCTCACGATGCCCATACAAATCTCATCAGAACCACGTAGGAATTTTCTGCAATGTTTATTTTTATTTTCACAATTCTTTTTTAAATCTACTAAAATTACCTAACAGTTTAATTTAGAACATGCATTCTTCTCCAAAGAAATCCTCTAAATCATCTAACAATTTCTATGGATTTCATGTAAGAATAATTCTGGAAATCTGCTCTTCTCCTTCGAAAACTGTGTGGGAATCCTTCTCAATATTTGTTTTTAATCAACACTTTGAATTCTTTTAAATTTTACTAAAAATTCCAGGGTTTGTCCGCCAGATTCTACAGATTGCTATGTAATTTGTTATTACCCTTAAAATGCTTCCAAATCTCAGAGCGTGACAATTATGACTCCACGACTCATAAGCATGATGTTTTTTTTTTTTATAAATCTGTGATCTTGAAAAAAATTCAAAATTTCACATTTTAATTATTGTTTCTCCAAATCTTGCATCGCGAAGCATGTTATTAATCTCAAATTTTGAAGAAAAGTTTTAGTTTCAGACTCTACACAAATTTCAAAGCTCCAGAATCTTGGAAATCTTCTTAAATCACATTTTTTTATCCTATCAGTAAATTTTGTTTTTTTTTGTTGCATATTAACAACCGGGAATTTTTAAGATTTGAACCGGGAAAACCGGGAAAAAACCGGGATTTTCAAAATGAAAATTCACTGGCCACCCTGGAATTTGATAGCAAAGATTCCAACCTCAGAAGAAAGGTTTGTATATTTGCTCATTTTTCTATGCGGTGCTTCCACCTTCACTCAAGCGCAGCTCTACTGTATATGTCGCATAGATTCTGGCAAAGCTGCCAGTCTTCATTATGATGCATTCGATTAAATTCAAAAGTTTAACAAATGCTGCACACAGGGCTGAAATTACAAAATATTGAAAACAGAAAATTTTACTAATCCCAACCCAACCAGTGGAGGTCCAACTAAAAAGCAGCCTAAGTATTAAAAGCCCAACCAGCGAATTTCGACTGTATTGCCAAGAGTGGTACAACAAAACGGTAAACTTGTAAAAACGTAGCCTGTTCAAGAATCACATCGGTTTCTTCTGAAAATGTGTTGTCATAAGCTTTTATTTACTTGCTCAAACCTCATTAAGGTGTTTCCTCGTAGAGTCCGTTTTTCCATCACACCTCGTAATTTCAAGAGCACACATCTCAAGATCTATCAAAAAGCGGAACCATTTCAATATATTGTATACCAACAAATGAAAAAGTCCTATCAACTTTTATAAACAAAACGATGATTATTCTTTCCTCGACAATCGAACACAAATTACCGGCGTCATCGGATAGGGGAATCTTTCCCCAACTCAAAGATAGTGTTAGTTTGCGTAGGCGAGTCTTGAATCACGAGAAAACGGTTTCCGAAGTTTTGTTCGCAATACCTGATGTGCTCTTTTCTGTTGTTGGTCGTGATTTGCTCGATTGGTTCCGCTATTTGACAGCTCAATTGGTTCCCTAGATTCTATCCGCCAGACTATGAATATAGCGACTATAATTTCCTCAGATTCTGTAGAAAATTGTAAACATTGATATTATTCTGCACAGATAAAAATGTTTATGTTGCGTGGTGGGCGTTGGCCAAATTTGGATTTTTCAGATATAATCCTAAATAGGACCTAGATTATTTAATACTCTAGTAACCTCAAGTCCGTGCTCTGTCACAATGTTTCATTGTGATTAATCAACACTCAAAGGGGTAAAATATCAAATTTGGGGTGAATTTGAAAGAAAGGGAACTTGGAGTGTAGAGCGCACTGCCCACTGGACGATTCTGAAGCCTGGCCAAGTGAGTGGGGTATGGGTTTATTTGATTGAACGTCATTTCCAATGTATATATTGATACATTCAAACCATTGGCATTTGAGATAAGACAGAGATAGGATGCGGAGGGCCCGCTTAGGGGAAGCGTAACCCCCCGAATAAAAAATATTATAGAAAAACAATACAATTTATTGTAACGGTACTATTTGGAACAGTATGATTACAATAAAAGCTATTGTAATTATAACAATAAAAATATGTTGAAATGTATTGTGTGAAACTTTTGAATGTATGGTAAACGGAGCTTTTACAATGGAATGTACGGGTTGTTAAGTATCGTAACAGTTCAAAAATTTATTTAATCTCATAGTATTTTTTCTCCAAAACAATAAGATGAATAGTAAATATATAGTTGTTAGGACTGAACATAACATCAAAGTTACTTAAGGTTTAATTGTCAATTTACGGTAACAAAACGATAAAATTAATATTAATCATACTGTTATGAATAGTGACTAAATCACTGATTCAACAATTGATTGAATTGTATGATAATAGTTTCATTATTCAATTTTGTATTGTTTTACAATACAACGACGGTACAATATGTTGCTTATTACATTTAGGCTGTTTAATTTTAATAGAATAACAAAATCTGTTCTGCGATGAATATTGTTTTATTTTATATCGTTAAAAGGTGTTGCTTAAGAAATTAAAAAGAAAAATAAATCAAGAACGTAAAACATATGTTGGAACATATGTTTAGGAACAATTCAATAAAAATTTAAAACATTTAGTTGATGTTAGTAAAACAAAGCATCGTCACAAAAAATCTGCCAAATTGATGTAAAGCAATTCGTACATATGTGGTTTCCAAAATACGATTTCTACATATCTCTAGCCAAGGTAACTTCAAATCAGTTGGCTCAATCTCTTGCTGTAGCATTGGCATCCTGATCGACATCTTGAATAACATTGCGTGCCGTATCTTGCTGCCTTTTTCAGATTTCCGATTTAATTCGATGTCCTCATTGTTTTGCATTGCTTTTCAATGACGACCGATGACTGTTTCATTGATATATGATTTTTTCATAAATATGAATTCTCAGTAGACGTGTTTTTTTATCAAAGGCAAGTGTCACTCGAGCCATTCAAAATGTTCGTTATTTTATAAATTGCTGTTATGGCTCGAGTGATACTTGCCTTTGATAATAAAACACGTCTACTGAGGATTCATATTTATGAAAAAATCATATATCAATGAAACAGTCATCGGTCTTCAATGAAAAGCAATGTTTATATCATATGGGTGGAAAATTTGTCAAACAAATACTTTAAAATTCTTCACTTTTTGAGATATCTTCGAGCATGAAACTAAGTCAAACAAAATTGATAGATAACACAATAAACTTTGCTACGAAAGTTGTTACAGCAGTTTTCGTTCTTTCAGTCTCGAGATACAAATATTATAAGCCGTAAATTACCTTAAAAACATAAAATAAACTTGAAGCACCTCTAAATCATCACCGATTTTCCTGAAAATTTGCACAGAAGTTCAAATTAACATGACAAACAGTAATCACGATTGACCCGTTACATTCCGAACATTTCGTTTAAAATGAACAGGTCTAACCAACAACTGTCTAGTTGATTACATGCATGCAGTTTTTCTTGGGGTTTGCAAACAATTATGTGGACTGTGGTTCGAATTCAGTAGTAATGAATATTGTATAAAACGCTACATTGGGAAAGTAGATAACATTATGACATCCACACGCTCTTTTCAAGAATGCTCAAGGTCTCTTCGTAAGGTTCCCGATAGAAAGACATGGAAAGCAAATGAATGACAAAATTGGTTGTTAATCTATAGTTCCGTTTGTTGAAAGGTTGAAAGTGGTTGAAACATAAGAAAAACAATTCATTGTGTTGTTACATGAGAACATGTTGTTTATGTATGGTAGTTACAGTACGGAAAAATTTTGTCTTGTCATTCAAATACAATATATCGTATTGTATCTTATAGAGTCTACAGTATACGAATGGGTTATACAAAAAAAGCAATGGTTTATTTTTATCCGGGCCATGTTATGGTTTCCATTTATTAAATAGTTCAGATAGGCTGGAAATGACAGGTTCATAGTGAGAAAATGTACCATTTGGGGCCCGTTCACTGATCAAAAATCAGATTCACATCGTCAGACCCTGCCCAAGAATAAGGGGATTGACGATGTCTTGTCAAGTTTATTTTGAATTTGCGTTTTGCATTTAATACTCTAGTAAATCTCGCGTCCGTGCTTATTCACAACAGTGTTAGGTGTCAATACTCACTGGGTCATATGTCTTAGACCAGTTCCAGATTAGTTTGCTATTAATATCTTCTGCATCGCAGTTCGCGATAGATTACTAAATATGGGTTCTCTTTTCCGACCATAATAGTGTGAGGGAAGGGGGTGAGTTAAACGTTGCGATATGAGAGCGAATAGAGGCAAATAAATAGGGAAGACAACACCATGACCAAAATAAGTAACCAATGCATGCGGCTCACACTTAACTTGTTCTATTTCTTTCTTTCTTCCTATAATGTACTAATATTAACTGCCTGAGGACAAATGGGAACACGACCAGAAGTTTAATAGCAGAAAATTCGAACAAGAAAAGAAGAATTCAACTTGCACCGGCAAGAGGAAGCAGACAGAAAGGATCATGCCGGTTGGAGACAGCCAATGTATACTGGACGAAGCTTGTATCTAGGAAAAGTCGTATGTGCAGGAAACCGTAAGTAGGATAAGAATCGTAAAAGGTGTGTGCTTGCTTGATAAGATCCTAACTTTACTTTAAATACACGGTAGGAATCGAATATCCATTTATGATTAAGGTTTTGCCCATTTTTCAGTGGGAGTGGCAATACTCATTGATGAGTGATTTATCGTACCCATTTATTAGTAACTGTTAGCAGCTAATGATTAATTGATTTACCTATTTTAGAATTACCTATACTTCACATCAGAACCTCATTTCCTTCAATTACTACTCCGTCGCAGCACACACCTTATATGGATCGCTAACCTTTATTTAGTTTCAGCATTTTCGACATTATAATCAATCGTTACGCCAATGGTTAAAGTGATTAAGTGACTATAAAAAAAAAGACCAATGTGGGAGTTTATGCTATTTTAACCCACTATTACTTTATATTTCAGCCTTTTCATACACTACCAATAAACGCATAACAGTCCAATTAGAATAGGAAATCAAGCAAATAAGTGACTGTTATGCTTTTATGGGCAGTAACAATTCTGTGTCTTGTAAATTCAGCCTTCGAGTTTTTTTTTGACTCTTGTGGTTTTACGCTTTTCTACGAAATTATTCATTTGTTATATTTTTCCCCCCATTCACAGTGGCCCAGTGGCTGACGTGCGCCATCAATCGCTGCTCCAATGGTAATGAAATTGAATACTTTGAACTGCTTCCGATCGCTTGCCGTTTGGAACGTTCCGAACAGGATCAAGAGTTGGCGGAAATCTGCACCACACTGTTGGCCATGATTTCCCAGGCACTCACATTGGTCCCCTGTATGGATGCTGCGTTGACCAAGATAGATGAGATCTCCAAGATGACTTCCTGGTCGGCTCGGCGCTCGGTGATTGACGTGCTTCAGGTGCTGGTGTTCTACAATATGACAATAATCTTAAGCAACGAGAAGTGGAAGATGAAAACCCAGGAGATTGTGCTGCGTCTGCTGGAGGATAATGTGGTAGAGGTTCGCGAGAAGGCGGCCGAGGTACTCTGTGGACTACTTCACTGCTCCTTCCTGACGGCTACCGACGAGCTGTTGGAATTGTTTAAACAAAAATGCCGAACGAAAATGATTAAAGCGAAGCGACTCAAGGTTGCCCCCAGCTGTTCCAATGAAGTCAACAAGAACGAAGGGTATGGGAAAGCATTTGATGTGACCTAATAACATTGTAACTGATCGGAATCGTTTTTTTTTTTAAATTTATTGTAGAGAAGCGAATGCGGTTCGTGCTCGCCATTCCGGCGTTCTTGGCCTATGTGCCTTTATTTCTGCGTATCCGTACGAAGTGCCTGAATTCGTTCCGAATGTGTTCGAACATTTGGGAGCACATTTGAACGATCCGCAGCCAATTCCAGTAAGTGACTGGATCCAATCGTTAGCAATGCTATATGATGTAATTGATATTCCACCTTTCCAGGCAACCATTCGGAAAACGATGGGCGACTTCAAGCGAACGCACCACGACAATTGGGAGGTTCATCAGCTTAAGTTTACCGAAGATCAGCTGGCAGTGCTAAGTGACTTAACAATTCCACCCTCGTATTATGCTTAAAATGGGTGTTTTTCGGTTCGTGTGGTTCCGGGATGTTTTCGAGTGGTTGCAGTAGTATTTTATATTATAAAAAAAAGATATCTCAAACAGTTTTAGGACTGTACGAAGTGGACGGGTAGAAGACGTATTTTGACAACTTATAGACGTAGCCTATGTAGCAGATTTATAGCAATTGTAAATACGGTTTTAGGTTCTTATGAGAGATGTTTATGCGGAGTTTTTAACCTGCACAAGAATTAGCTTATTTTTAATTGTTCAATGTTCGTATCAAATCGTAGTCAGCTAATGTGTTTTGTTTAAAATTATGTTATAAAAAAATACTGACTCCCTCTGATTGCCACCTCAAAGTTGTACATTTCGAAATTTCTGCGTTTGCTTGTAATGGTTTATTATGTTGTAATAAAATTTATGGAACACTAATCTATCATTGTATCAAAAGAAATAGAAAAAAACTCACCCCTGCTTGTTTCAGATGACGTTTAAATAGCTGATTATCACGCTGAATCATTGTTTACATTTCGCCCAACAGTTCCGTGTATCGCAAGTGTCGGTTCTTTACATTTCCGTGACAATGCGAAGCATTTCTCCGGACAAGCGTAAACAGATCGTGCACAAATGGTGTACTATCCTCAACATTTCTCTGAGTCAATTAGCGAAATTGGAAGGTGTAAGCATCGGAGCCGTTCGAAACGCGATTCGGAAGTATGGCAACGTTTCAGGACAAGCAAAAATATGGACGTAAACCAAACCCTGTTGACCGGAAAACCGTACAAGCTTTCACTCGTAAGAAAAGTGCTTCGGTTCGAGACGTGTCTAAAAAAGTGGGATCCTCGAAGAATAACGTCCAGCGGGCCAAGGCAAGAATGGGTCTAAAGACGTATAAGAAGCAGAAGAAGCCAAAGCGGAGTGAAAAACAAGCCGCATCCGTCAAACCGAAGTTTTGACTGTGCGTGCTTATGGACGATGAATCATACGTTAAATGTGATTACAAAACTCTTCTTGGTGATCAGTACTACACCGTTCGTGATGGCAGAAGTGTTGACGACGCGGGTAAGTCGATTTTTACCGAAAAATTCGGTAAAAAGGCTATGGTTTGGCAAGCCATTTGTGAGTGTGGTATGCTTTCCAAACCGTTTTGTGACAACAGATACAATGACAATGATGTTTACGTGCGTGAGTGTTTAAACAAGCGTCTGTTACCCATGATCTGCAAACACGACGCTTCAGTACTGTTTTGGCCAGATTTGGCGTCGGTTCATTACTCCAAGGACACGGTAGCCTGGTATAAAGTCAGCAAGGTCCAATTCGTTCGCAAGGAGATGAATTTGCCAAACTGTCCACAGGCCAGGCCAATCGAAACTTTTTGGGCCCTGATCAAAGCATATTTGCGGAAAAATGTAAAGGTAGCGGATTCCGCTACAAAGTTTGCGAAAGACTGGGAAAAAGTATCCAAATTTGTTTGGAAAGGCATCCGTGCTAAAGCTAATGAGTAGAGTGAGATCCGTTACTTGGCTTACGACTGATCGGATCTCGGATACATTCAAACTTTTCCCTTCTTCACTTTCTCATGGAAAACCGCAAACAAAATCAACACACTAGTCAACACCAAAATGGGTAATTGTCACTTAAAAATAAATTTGAATGTTCGAAAATCTCTCTGTTGTCGATAAATCAATTTTTGACTATAGTTACTTACTTTAGTATCGTTTGCACCTTCAGAGGTGCCAAGGGCCAAATTGAAGGACTTCCATCCTGGGTGACTGCTTGCTTTAGCTTTAACCTGATCAAATTCCTTTCCTTGTTTAGCCTTCGCCGTCATGAGCCCCTGAATCTGCCTCTGCTTCGATGTCCTGCCGGGTTCTAATTCAGCACTTACTTGCAGATTTCGTTTCCGTCCCTTCGCAGTGTGTGGCCAACCAAACTCCACTTCCGTTCTCGGATGTGTAGACTTACCCCCCCCCCCTCCTTATGTGTCTACGTGGAAGTAAAGCCGTTGGTCCCCGGTCTATGAGTTGATGGGTCGATATGTAGGGTTCAGGTGTGGGAGCTGTCTCCTTGGCGTCGCGTCGGTAGCATTGGTACTGTTACTGATTTTTTGTACGATCCCTTTTTCTCATGAGCCAAACATGGATGGCTGGACGCAAGGAAGTTATGAAGCAGAGAAACAGAGTCAAGAAAACCGAGCCGTCACCGGGAGGACGACTTCCGCTTTTCATTAACTTGATGTTATTATTATTATAGATAAATACACGAATCGAAGAGCACGTTTTTTCGCTAGTCATTAATTTTGAAAGTTAATTTTTTTTTTTTTTCCTTTGGTTTGTTTTTTTCCGTTGATCTTGTTTTCCGTGCTGAGCACCAATGCTACCGACGTGCCAGGAAGGAAGGCAGCTCCCACACCTGGACCCTACCTATCGACCCATCAACTCATGAACCGGGAACCAACGGCTTTACTTCCCGTCCGAAGGAAGGCGTGATCAGAGATGCTATGCCTCAGAACATCCCGGCGGCGCCGACTGGGATTGAACCCAGGCCTGCTGGGGTGAGAGGTAATCACGCTTACCACTACACCACCGGCGCCGTTTTTTTGAAAGTTAAGTTTTTAAAGAGTTTATTCCGTGGCTTTTTTCAATCACTGTTTTCGTTCACTCTCGCGTGTTGTCTCGTCATTTAACAATTGGTCTTTCGAGCCGGAGGGAAAGAATTCGCGATAATGGAAGTGCAGTTGAAAAGGCGAATTGTTTCTATCGAGCGGCTGAAACGGGAACATGCAAGTGCGAACAGGAAACACCAATCTTTGAGGTGAATGATCGGTTGCAGAAACTGGTCGAGATGCAGGAGAATTTCGATAAAATCCAATGCGAAATCGAGGACGCAGCAACGGAGGAGGAATTGCCGTCGGTGCTCAACGTGCGAGTGGATTACGAAAAACTGTATTACGCAACCAAACGGTTGTACACCAGCTGGTTGCAAGAAACGCGGCAGGAGGAGAGATCGAATTTCGGCAGCAGTGACGCGACGTTCATTGAACCGGAAAGTGACCTCAAGGAAGCCGTTCGTTTGCTGTTGGATACCCAAAGGACGTTGTTGACCAGACAAGCTGCAGCTTCAACTACCGTGTAGGAGTTAGCTGGCCAGTTTCATGGAATGCACGCAGCCCCAATCGACATGCAGCTACCATCGTTCAGTCTTCCAACATTCAAGGGCGATAGGAAGCAGTGGGCATCGTTCAAGGACATCTTCATCAGCAGTGTGGACATGAAGAACCTTACGAATGCGCTTAAGCTTCAGTTTCTTATGTGTTACTTGGAAGGAGAAGCGAAAAGCCTGGTGAGTAGCTATGCAATCACAGATGTTAACTACAAACAGGTGTGGGACACTCTGGTCGAACAATATGACAAGCCGAAGTTTGCTGTTTCGGCGCTTGTCCATGAGTTTTGTGACCAGCCAGTGATAAAAGCAATGAACCTCACGAACTTGCGGAAGCTCGTATCGACATCCGATGAGGTGATACGCCAGCTAAAGGCCATGGGCAATGCGTACGAGACCAGGGATCCATGGCTCATTCATCTAGTCTTGAAGAAGCTGGATGACAATTTGCGTTCTCAGTGGGCAACACACATCGTTGACATCGACAATCCCACATTCGATGAACTACTGAAATTCCTCAAGCGGAAGTGTGATGCATTCGAAACTTGTGCTGCGTTCGGCGGTAAACACTTGGATCATGTCAAGAAGGAAACCTACAAGGAAGAAAAGAAGCCGATCAAGAAGGAAATCAACAGTTTCTATGTCGTAGAGCAGCATTCATGTCCAATGTGTTCGGGAGACCATGGAATCTACAAGTGTTCAACATTCAAGGAGGCTTCGGTGAAGGCAAGGCGTGAATTTGTACAGCAAGTAAGACTCTGCTTCAATTATTTGCGTTCGAACCACTGTGCAAAATCGTGCCCGTCGAAGTCTGTATGCCGTACGCCAGATTGTAACCAAAAGCATCATACCTTATAGGTAAAGAGCCTGAATTTATAAGAGACGACATCTTATCCATTTGACAGGTCTTCTGCTCGATTGGAATGACTTTTCCTATGACTTTGACGGACAATCGATTGTTCCAATTTTGACATGTCGCCTCTTTATAAATTTAGGCTCTTTACTTATAGGCGAATCCAATGGAAATTAAGCGATCGTTTCAGCCTCTGGTGGTGAATAAGAGAACCATCAAAAGAGTGATGAGGGCTGAAATTTTCACCGTGAACCATAGGAAGAGGTAAATGTTTTTACCTTTTCTGATTAATTTATCCATCGCAGGTGCTTGTAATCAACATCCACATGGAATATTTTGTTTTCTGTATCGATTTTGGAGTAGACCGCCGTGTCCTTCCACATATTTTTGTTAAGAAAAGTGAAGATTTATAAAACTACTCCAGCGGTTATGATCTTCCGGATTTTTGATGTGCTGTTCTTTGAGCTGTAAATTCGTTCAAATATGTGTAAAATAATAAAATAAGACCCCTCCCGATGGAAATATGCAAGATACACTTAACAATATGCGTTAATTTGAGATGTACAAATTGTAATTTGGATGTAAACAAACGGTTTGGTGGACGTTTCCTCTAATAAACGCCTAGCGCACTCTGCATTGGTCGTGCATAGAAACAGCCTATTGACAAATCCAAGTTTCAATCGACCACCGTGACGCTGCAATCGTAGCGGTGATAAGTCCGAAATAATGTGTCAAACTGAATACATTTTTGAAATTTCATCCAAAAAACAATTATTTTCTATTTATTCTAGCGAGTTTCTGTGGAAGTCAAAACATGATCCGAGCAAAAAAGTAGTACTCGTAATAATGGTATATAATGCTGAATTTTATCGTGCTTTGTTTCGAAAATATCTTCCAAATAAACAAACATCATCCAAATCACCTGATTCGCCAACCGACTAAATCTATAGGCTGTTTCTATGCACCACCAATGCAGAGTGCGCTAGGCGTTTATTAGAGGAAACGTCCACCAAACCGTTTGTTTACATCCAAATTACAATTTGTACATCTCAAATTAACGCATATTGTTAAGTGTATCTTGCATATTTCTATCGGGAGGGGTCTTATTTTATTATTTTACACATATTTGAACGAATTTACAGCTCAAAGAACAGCACATCAAAAATCCGGAAGATCATAACCGCTGGAGTAGTTTTATAAATCTTCACTTTTCTTAACAAAAATATGTGGAAGGACACGGCGGTCTACTCCAAAATCGATAC